TCTAACTGAGATGACCTTTCCATCAATGTATGACACGTCCGGATCGTATGTATAGTTTAGCCGCTATGGTCACTTGTTACCGAACTTCCATAGGAATACATGTGAATATACTCGGGTGCTTATTGCCTGAAAACGGTATTATGTAGTTTTTTCAAACTGAGATATGTTATGTGGCTTTAGATGAGCTTTAGATCGATGTGCTACTTGACCAGATTGTATGTGGCGTTTGGCCACCGCGGGCTCTTTACCGACCCTCGGTAAATGTAATATATGATAACTCATGAACGGCTCATAGCGGGACCATGATATTTGCATGGTATATGAAGTCTATTAATGTGAATATAATGATGTATAATAGGTGTCCGTCCGACCTCGGGAATTACCGATTCTGGCCAGATTACCGATATCAAAAGTTAAAGTATGGGTATATCCATACATGATTACAATATAAATGTGATTATATCAGAGTATGTGAATAGTACAAACATATATGAATAAAGTATTGGCGCGAAAAATATATAGAGTAGAGTCACGTGTCAATTAGGTTATAATTACGGGTCTAAACTGTAGTTTAGGTTTACAGTAAATGGTGTTTAGTTACACTGAATTAATTATCCTGACAATATCAATTGACTTTTAATACAAGTAATCAATGGCTTACACATCAATTGAATAGGAAATACATATATAAATATTTTATAAATTTAACCATTCACATAAATCCCATAACAATTGTAATATTGAAAGGAAGTCAAACCTTAACTCAAAACAATTCACAATAAATTCTGAGAACTTTGAATTAAAATATAAATTTGTTGACACTTAAATTTCCGATCTCTACAATACTATAAATTGATTTATGTTGTAAAGATTAATTTTGACATAGAATCTGTGCATATTATCAATGCTGGAAAACATTAATGAATGCTATTATTTGTTAAAATTGTGAGTTTAGATTTCTCAAGGATTCATTAATTCATTCGCATATCTTTCAAAACAACTCTCAAATAGATATTTTTGAGAAAAATATATTGCCTTTTAAATTGCAATATAAAAGAGATTAAAATTAAATTAAAACTGCAATCAAAGAATTTTTACTCGCAAACTACTGTATATATACAACTAATGTCAACAATTGAAACTCATTTTTATCAATTCAATCAAAACCATCTCTTGATTATAACAACAAAATGTGTTTCTAATATAACACTTTTATTTATTTTGCAGAATTAAGAAAAAATTCAATCTAAAATATAATTTTAAAAGTAAATTCTGTTTGAAATATAATGAAATTTTGTTTTTTGTCTATACACTTACATTTTAAACTACAATTCAGATATGAAAAATGTAATTTGATGGAAATTGACATTTAACCTAGCGATTACACACTTATTCCCCTCCTTACTAAAACATTCTTGGCTGAAAATCCTGCCAGCACAAATAAATGCAGTTATGCCTGATTTACAGGAGGTGTAGATGGCAGTTAAATAGAGAGCATTACTCAATGTGTAGTGCTTGTATAGGTTTGTGTGCATTGTGTGTGCAGTGGTATATAGTTATACGCATTAGACATTCATGGCTGGATTCTCTGCCAACTTTGGCGCTCAATTTATGTGGAGTTCAATCATAGCCTTATATCCAATGACGCGCGCACACTGAAAGTATAGATATAAAGTGCTATACATTTAAGGCTTTGTGGCAGACTTTTTAGCCAACATTTTGTGTTCAATGAAAACGCATTCATAAAGTATTGAAACAGTGCTGATTGGGCGCTAATGGATAACACAGTTTATGCATGTATTTATAATTAAAAACAATAATTAATTTTTATTTTAATGAACATTTATTCAAATTAAAAGTGTTTTATTAGGATTTAAGCATAAAATAGAAATAATTATATAATGAAATGAAAGTGTATTTTCTAAACATATAAACATATATATATATAAAGGTTAATAAATTGTGAAATCTTTAATTAATTAAGTATATCCCAATATATATAATGATTGTATTAATTTGATTTAGTTTTGGTTGATTGCGATGTGCTTATGCTTGAAGTATATGAATCACCATCTCTGCCATCACTAATGTTTTCAATACTTTGTTCAGTATCTGTTGAATGATCTGAGACTTCTATTTCTTCACAATCTTCATCACTAACAATATCTTCAGCACTTTTATCATTTAGCAGATCCTTGAGTTGTTGTCGAGTTAATATGTTTTTACGACTTATTATTATCATTTTGATTTAATGTATTATAAACAATAATATTGAGTTTATTCAATAAATTTATCATAAAATACAAATCCGATATCCTTAATTAATTAAGGATATCGGATTTGACAATGTTTTAAATTATTTATAATTATTATAGTTAAAAAATAACAACTCTTTAATTCATATTTGATTTGTTATGCATTTGATTATAAATGGCTGTCACTTAGCCCACAAACAACTAATAATGAGAACTCACTATCAATGCATTGAGAGTTAAACCTAACATCTATTGTTTAGCCTTTGATTGCATTGTGAATATAATCCTGTACACTGTTTGAGTACACTATACATGCGTTTGCATTGAACACAAAATGTTGGCTAAAAAGTCAGCCACAATGCCTTTAAACCTAACATCTATTGTTTAGCCTTTGATTGCATTGTGAATATAATCCTGTACACTGTTTGAGTACACTATACATGCGTTTGCATTGAACACAAAATGTTGGCTAAAAAGTCAGCCACAATGCCTTAAATGTATATCACAAACTACAGTGTATGTGCGTTACTGCATATAAAGCAATGATTGAAGCTCTCATAAATTGAGCGCCAAAGTTGGCAGAGAATCCAGCCATGAATGCCTAATGCGCATATCTATATACCATTACATACATTATGCACACAAACATACACATACGTCTGTATTGATCCTAAAGTAGTGATATAAATACAGTGTTATATACCGCCACTCAATATTAGAGTGAACACCACTGAATAGCCATTGCAGTGAAGATGAACAAATAGTGTGTAGATTGAAGCGCCACTCCGTTTGAACTAAAAATGCACTGATTTGTTAAGGATTGAAAAAGTTACTCGTTTGACATACTGGCAGGATTTCTAAAGTGACCTCCGCTTAACAATTAATTACTCGGACACTAAACATGTAAATAAAGTTTTATTTAATCTAAAAGTTGCTCAAAGGTTTGGTTGAGGCATTCCTAGAGTTTTTTAAGTGTGACTCTTAAAACTGATTTTTAAGAAGAGTTTTAGATGTCATTTATAAAAAGTCAGCCAAGAAGTTGATCACTAGGTTAAAGATTGAAATATAAAAATTATTTCATGGCTATAAAATCTAAATGTGCATGTTTTACTACATTGTATAAAATATACTAAATATTCTAAATGATCTAACTTTAGATTTACCATAAGTATTATACCATTATGCTTAGGGCTTAGTAGCACAAAAATCTTTGATAATTAAATAATTATTGAACTTTTTATCATAGTTAAATATAATAATCCTATTTATCGATTCTGTACCAATAATGTGCATCACTATATATATCGTAACTTTTTAAATAAACAATTAGTTTATTTCTTAATTTTGTAACAAATATGTTTGTCTATATATCGACAGTGATTACTGTACTTATTGCGGGTCATACTATATGCGCTTACGATGTGTTGCCCGACCCGTGGGACACACTGTATGTACAGCCCGAACAAATTCATCTATCATTAGGAGGTATAACTTTAAATCAAGTTTGCAACTTATATATTATTCGTGTTACTCTGTTAATTTTTGAATATTATTATTTAACATATTAGATTGTTATAATTCCAAGTTATCCAGGTCAAACTAATTTGTTTTCAATTATTAAATAGCCGTCGAGAGCCAGATGATAGTGACATGGACCACGTTTGATTTGACAGCCAAATCGACCGTATGGTATGGCATTCAGTCGATCAATATGTCAGCGCACGGCAGCGCTCGTAAGTTTGTGGACGGAGGCTCCGAAAAACGCCAAATGTTTATACATCGGGTCACACTTACGGCACTTGTATCGGGACAGACATACAGTAAGTCATAGCGAATATTCATTTACAATATTTGTTATTAATTATAACAACAACAGCACTTGTCTTTTAATCAAATAGTATTGTGATAAAATTAACCAATATTCAATTAACTATAGAGTATCACGTGGGCAGCGATGACGGCTGGAGTCCCATATTTACCTTCACGGCTCTCAAAAAAGGCAATGACTGGAGTCCGAGATTTGCCATTTACGGCGATTTGGGTAATATATTGGCCGCCACTTTACCACGACTTCAAAACGAGGTTCAACAGGGTCTCTATGATGCCATTCTTCATGTTGGTAAGTTTATTAGTATTTACAACAATTAATTAACCAACATCATATGATGTCAAGTTCATTCCCATATTTATATAAGAATTAATGTTTGTTTTAGATATCTTATCTTATTATTGTTATTATAATAGAGTACTCATGCAAACCCTCAAAATAAAATGAGCTTGACATAAATTATTATATTGTAAATAATAGTAAATAATATACTCAATAAGTTAATTATATATTTTGTTATTGACAGGTGATATTGCTTATGATTTGGATCTGGTAAGAAACAATATTAAATAACATATTAATAATATAATATTTTATAAATAATGATAACAAAATTGTTGTTAGGATTATAATTTATAAATGGATTATTAAATAATGATGATATATATAATTATTAGGATAACGCTAGAGTGGGCGATGAGTTTATGAGGCAAATAGAGCCGATTGCAGCGTACATACCCTATCAGGTGTGTCCCGGCAATCACGAACAGGCATAGTATGTGTCCATTTTTCTAAGCACACCTTGATGAGTTTTAATTAATTTAATATTTTATCCCAAATTAATTGCTAGCAATTTCTCCAATTATGACAACCGATTCTCAATGATCTCTTCGGGCGGACACACAATCAATAACCACTTCTGGAGCACAAACATAGGACCCGCGCATATCATCTCCATATCAACTGAATTCTATTATTACACTAAACAGTACGGCACACATCAGATCGAGAACCAGTACCGATGGCTCGAACAGGACCTCATCCAAGCCAATAAACCCGAGAACAGGGCCCAAAGACCCTGGATTATCACCATTGGTCACAGACCACTCTACGCGCAAAATCATATTGATAACATTGTATGACTATTTAATACACAATATTTGTTAATTTTTTATCAAGAATATTCTTATGCTAATGGCTTAGCACTTAAAATAATTAACAATGATTTACATACCAATAGCTAAGAGAGGGCTTCACTTTCGCAAAGGACTCGAAGCCTGAGTTTGGTTTCGAAGAACTGATGTATAAACACGGCGTCGACCTCTCATTCTGGGCTCACGAACACAACTACGAGAGACTTTGGCCCATATATAATAATAAGATTTACAACGGCTCCGTAGACGAGCCCTATAATAATCCCAAAGCACCCGTCCATATCATCACTGGAAGTGCTGTAAGAAGTCATAATTAATTGATTATTTTCATACAAGTAATTAAAATTATGTATTTGCGTTATGTGTGGGATATTAGGGTTCTCGCGAAAGACACACCACTTTTATCGATACTCCCCATTACAGCGCTTTCCAGAACGAGGAGTTTGGTTACACACGTATGACAATACACAATGCCAGTCACATTTACCTGGAACAGTTATCTGTTGAAAGGGTATTAACATATTATTTAATATATCATATGATTTTATTTTATTTGATAAATGTTTATAAATTGTACGACTGCTTTAGGAGGGTGGCCAGATTATTGATAAATTCTACTTGATTAAAGAGAAACACGGATACGATGCCTGGTTCTGAGAATATGACAAAACTATGCATTTAGATGTTGAGATTTGTAGTAATAATTTCATATGAAATTCATATTATGAATCAATTTCAATGTCTACATACGTGTATGTGAAGTCTACTATACTTAAAAAGTTTTAAAATTACTTAAAAAGTTTAAGATAACTTAAAAATTAATTGTAAAACACATTATTAGTTAATCTATTAAAGAATAAAAGCATTTATTTATTATAAGTCCTAATACCGTAATAATACCGTTATACCTATGCAATTATTATAATAAATTGAGATAAGTACAATAAAATAACAAAAATTAAATAAATCAGTAGTTCAATGTTATATTTAATATTAATGATTGTCTTATTATCTGAAATGTTTTACTACGTTATATTTAAATAAAATTAATTATTATCATAATTATTAAAATACTTATTAATTAAAAATGATTTGTGATTGTGTTGACAATTTACAAGGCTGTTCAAAATGCCAATGATGTAAAACATAGAATATTAATTCTATACCTTATATAATGTGAGATTATGTAAAGAACAATTAATTTTTGTATTGCGAAACAATACAGATATTTATGACAATTTTATAAAATAATTAATATATTTGTATAAAAAAAGATATTTTGTTTTAAAATGAATTTATTATAAGAATTTATGTCTCAAATTAATGAATCAATCTTTATTTATTACAGTAATGCAATATTTATTACAATAAAACACATATGATTTATGTTATTTATACAGGTATAGATAACAATACTGCGAACAAAGATTTCATTATCATCTGTCTGAAAATTTAAATAACATTACAAAAAATATAAAAATACCGGTATATACTGTATACAAGTACTGAACTCAAGTCAAAGGAAATCCAAATCAAAATGTTTAAAAAAATTTTAAGTAAAAATTTTAAATCTATTGTAAGACTAAATTCAATTAATGTAAACGATGTGTTGCCTAAAGAGTTAGTCACTCTATCGGCGAGCAATCAATTGTATAAAATTGGTGTTTGCCATACATGTAGCGCATATGAGACGGCTGGACCAAGATCATTCTTTCATAAGCCTATTGTTTGCAATATAATCATGTGGACATTTTTAATACAACTTGTTAGTGTGACATTTGTATCACCAGAGCACCATCACATTAAAGTGATCATGGGCGACTTTTCCTATTTGCAAGGCGTTCCACCTCATACTAATTATTTCATATGCTTATGGGTGTTATTAAACATATTGTTTCGTATATTGTATTACTTTAACTATAAACGTGGTATAAAACCCACATTTTTTGCGTTGTTTGATATGTTTGGCGGTCACACAACTCCTGCAGATATTGGCCTCTATAATGGCCAACAGGTCTGGAAATTGGCCCGAAAATCGCGGCTATTGTTTAAACTTGTTAGAAGATTGCAAAGAGATTTTACCGTAATATATCTACTCTATGGTCTAACATCTTATATGATGAAATGCACACTGGTGGAAATCATTACATACGGTATAGTGCAGAGCATTTTTCTAGTTTTCCTAGATTACTATTGCGTAACGGGAATGATGTGGCTTATTGTTCATTATTACTTGTTATATTCATATATTAAATGTAAATTATACTTAATTAATGACAATTTAAGTAATCGTATACAAAACACAAAGACATTTGACTGCAATTATATCCAAAACACATTCCGTCTGTTGAATGCCATTTATGAAGAGATCAATGAGTATAACATTACGTATTGGTCTCAATATATAGCTATTCTATGGGTATTGTTAAGTATAATGTCGTGTCTCATGATATATGTGCTTATATTCCAAGACTTGTCGCTAATCCTGAGGTTTATTTATATCTATGGCCTATCGGTAACACTAATGCCATTCGCGTTCACTGGTTATATGTCCGCATCAATACATTACGAGGCAAACAAAGCGTATAAATTAATGAATAGATATAATGCCAGAAATGGTTTGTAAATTATTTATATTTATTGAATTGGATAAATATAATGCAGTTAGAATATAAATATTAAAAGCAATATAAAAAGCAGATGTAAAAAGCATAAAAACTGTATTCTTGGCACAAAATAGATATTAGATTAAATTAAAATATGTTTTAAATATACTTATATAATGTAAATTATACCTATTTTCCAATATTCTATCATGTACTAATTATTGTTTTTTATAATAATGTTCTTTAATATTATTTAATATTTAAGAAATATATTCATTAAAATATAGTATAACATTAAAATTAAATTGTTAAATTGTATATTTTAATACCATTAATAAATATTGCAGATAAACATTGTTTCAATAACAGTTTTAATTATACATTTCTATTTGATAACATTAATTTAACTATTACAACTTTTCAAAATAACGTACTTATGGTTCTCAAATTGTATAAAGTTCTTAATGTTTTTATAACTAACTAACTGTCTCTTAATACTTACTATAATAAGTGTTATATTAATTATGTTACTAATAATGTTCCCAAAAACATATAATTACGGACATTAGGGCACGTGGAATGCAGTCATTTAATAACACACATAAAATAATGTATTTAAATAAAATATACCAATAATTGGATATTTATGTGTTTTCATAATTTATTTATTTCATGATCACTAGTTTGATGCAATCATTCAAACTTTAACATTTGAAGTAAGTTTGGCAATCTTGTGTAATTTGTCAATTCCTAACACTAACTTCTAAGTATTAATGTATAACTTTTTGGTAAGACACATCTCAAATTTTTAAATATAAAATGCCCTAACCCCCAAGTCCCAGCGCTGGCTAAACGTATCATTTATTTATTATAAAATATACTTTTTTTCATTAATAAAGTAATTAATTATCATTATTTCACAGCAACTGCACCAGATCTCAATTAATTGCAACATAATGACTCATTCAAATCAATATTTGTAAAACAATTGCTGCAGAATATAAACCAATTTAAATACTACTGTATTTTGCTAACAAAATGGATTCAACAATCGATGTAAATGAAGTCCTACCAAATGAGTTGATCACTCTTTCTGTGTCCAATCACTTGTACAGAATTGGTTTATGTATGACCAAGAGCGATTTTGAACAAAGCATACAACGACCTTTCATATACAAACCAATCATAATTAACACATGCTTTGCCGTATATCTCACTCAAATAACATATGTAACCATGCTCGTACATTTGGACAATCATCATGTTAGAGTGGTAATGGGTAATATGGCCTATTTAATGGGCCTTCCCAATCATCTAAACTATTTTATAATTTTATGGGCAACAATGAATGTATTATATCGCTTATTATTTTACTATAACTTTAAACATGCTATAAAACCCTCATTTCTATCAGTATTTGATATGATAGCCGGTTATATAACTCCCGCACAAATTGGTTTAACAGATAGCCAATGGTTGAGAAAAATATCCCGAAAATGTGATATGTTATTTAAGATGGTCAAATTTACTAGGCTATATTTTACACCAGTCTATACACTGTTCGCATTGGCGGCATACATGCATATTTGCACCTGGATGGAAATCATTATATACGGCATACCGCAGATAATGTTGGCAACTCTAATGGATTTCTATGCTGTTCCACAAACACTATACCTAATAGTTCACTATTATATCATATATTTGTATATTAAATGCAAATTACATTCAATTAATAATAATCTCTATAAACATGTATTGAATGCCAAAACACTTAATTTGGTTTACATTAGGAAAACAATGCATTCATTAAATAGTATTTATTTGGAAATTAATGAGTATAACAATTCCTATTGGTCTAAATATATAGGAATTGTGTGGTCACTATTAAGTACAATGGGTTGTGTGATCACATATATCCTTGTATTTCAAAAGTTATCATTTGTCGTATGGCTTATTGTACTTTACGCTACAATCATAACCCTTTTGGCATTTATTCTCATTGGTTTCATATCTGCATCGGTTAACAAAGAGGCAAACAATACACACAAACTCCTGACCGTATATGTGGCCAGAAATCAGTTTTATTGGCCGATCGCCCGAAGACATAACCTAAGATTTCGACCAATAAATAGACAAAAAACATGATCACTTTAAAAAACACTTAAAAACACTTTAAACATAAAGTAAAGTTAAGCACTTAATTGCATGTAAATTAATTTTAATTATAACACTACTAATGATAGATTATATGTAAATAGACAATTAGTCATACAATTATCATTTAAATTCAACACATTGATTTAAATTAGATTAATATTTAATTAATTGATTAATTTTTATAAAAATCCAAATAGTTACTGTATTATCTACGATTAACTGAAGTGCACTGAATTTATCGTATAATGTATTGATATTAATGTAAATAATATTAAATAATGATATCAACTATTAATAGTATAGATTCCAATAAAGTTTGATTTGATTTGATATCACAAGTTTTGATTTACAATTAAAGCATGATAAAAATGTATGTATGTTGCAATTTTTAAAATGTACTATCCCATTCCTATCCTAAACTGATTCCACATAACATAACATAAAATCAAAATTTAAAAAACTACTTAACAACACTATCACAAATTGTCACAATCACAATGATGTGTGAATTAAAGAAACCATACATTACTTTCAATGGCATGACGTAATAATCATACGTCAAAATTATCAATTTGTTTATTTTGTTTCATGTGAACCAACACTGGCATAGAGTGCACACCATTTACTTGCACTGTATTTCATAAATTGTGGTCAAGTTGTGTACTCAACCTTACAATACATGCTGAAACACAAGCTAAGGGATTGCGCCGACTGGCGGGCCGAGGGTCTGGAGTTGACGAGTACTGCTAGCGATTCGGCGGCAAAGCTATACGACTCGGCGCTCAACCAATTGTGCGGTCTATACGACGACCAGGACTTCGGCGGTTTTGCCAACACATTGGCTGATATGCGGGTCGCGGACCCGGAGTTCGCGTTGGGTCAGGCGCTGACTCTGGGCCTGGAGTTGGGCTCCACCACCGCCGACAACGCGTCAT